CGCTTTCGTGTCTTTAGTTTCCCATAGAAAAGTTGTGTTGGAATCCTGTTGCTCTCCAATCTCATAACGTGTGACCATCTCATCTGTTTGAGAATTACTATAGTTTTAATGTCGTTACGTTCAGATCTTTGAAAGGTAAGTGTCTGGAATCAAAGACTGCGATTTGATTTTATGCGTCTCAGGCATTTTTGGTGGGATCCTTTACGCCATTTTATATGTTTCTATTATGTTTCAGAAGAGTAAAGCAGAGGCATTGAGACACAGGGATCGTGAATAGTTTTCCTCTTGTCTTTTTTTATTTATTTTGTTCCTTTACAGATTTTACACACACACACACACACACACACACACACACATATATATATATATATATATATATATATATATATATATATATGTATGGCTATGTATCAGGTCATCGCATAAGTTCTGTCCGAATATTGAATAAAGAAAACAAGCGAGCAAATGTTACATTTAATTACAGATTCAATCAACAATGTATTTTCCCTGATTATCTATGACTTTCTTCCATCTATTAACAAGCTTACTACTTCCATTACTGTAAAATTCTTTTGGCGTTGATTCGAAGAAATGTCAGTTTTAACCTCTTCCTGTGTTACAAAATCTGTTTCTTCCAAATGATTCTGTAAGCTACGAAACAAATGGTAGTCTAAAGAAGCAACATCGGGAGAATAAGGTTGATGAAGAATTTTCTCCCAACCAAGTTCTTCGATCTTTTGTGACGTGATTCTTACTGTGTCGGTTCGCGCATTGTCCTGATGAAACATCACCTCTTTTCGATTCACTAGAGCAGGTCTTTTTTCCTCAAAGCTTGATTCAAACGCTCTAATTTCTGACAGTATATTTGAGCATTAATTGTTGCATTAGGTGGTAAGAATTCAAAGTGGGTTATTCCTTGGCGATCCCACCAGATTGAAAGAAGAACCTTTTGCCCATGAAGTTCCCTTCTCGGCTGTGGCTGGGATCCTTCCCCTTTACCAAGCCAGTGTCTATGACGCTTAACATTTCGATCCATTTTTCATCGCCAGTCAAAAGTCTATCAAAAAAAGGTGAAAAAAGTTCGCGAGAATGGAGAGAAGAGCAGATGTCAACTCGGGATTTGAGGTTGTTTTCAGACAGTTCATGAGGCGCCCATTTTCCAAGTTTAGGAACTTTTCCAAGTTGTTGAAGATGACGATGGATAGTTGTATGGTTTGAACTGAGAACCACTGCCAATTCCTCAACTGATAAAGCAGGATTTTCTTCAAGGGCTGCTTCAAGAAGCTTTTCATCAAACTCAACTGGATGTCTGGTTCGATCTTCATCGTCAAATGTGAAATCTCCACCTCTGAATATTGCAAACCATCTTCTGCAAGTTCTTTCATTCACACATTCCTCTCCATAAACTGAGTGAATGTTTCTAGCCGCTTCGGTTTCTGAGTTTCCTTTCTTGAACTCATAAAGCATTATGTGCCTCAAATGATTCTTGGGTACTTCCATGTTAGCAGGGTTTTAATCAAACAAAATTTAATTTTATTGTTCTCTGAAATAAAATTTGATTAGTTTAAACGCATCTAAACATAAAAATAATGTTCAGCTCTATTATAAAATACTCTTTAAATTTCGTTCATTTTAACAAAATATATATATGTATGTATATATATATATATATGTATATGCATGTATATATATATATATATATGTATATATATATATGTATATGTATATATATATATATATATATATATATATTTATATATGTATATATATATATGTTTATATATATATATATATATATATATATATATATATATATATATATATATCTTGTAATTGCTTGTAATTATCTTGATGAAGCACTGACGTATTTTCGACTCATATCTGTCTAAACTGTGAATCTGGACATGAGTGTTTCTTTAAATGTTCTGAGATTGAACTTTGATCGTTCAAGTGAATTTAAGTCAAAAATAAATAAATTCAAACAAGTATGGCAACTAAGTTTTTAAATGTTGTAGCAGTATTACTAGAAGTGTTATATAAAACATATTAAATTAAAATGTTACAATTAAAAAAAATTCTTAAATTTTTTTTTGTTTAAACTCTGTCAAAAAAAATTGCATAAGTTCCCTCCCTTGCACAGAGGTAAAAAATGACCTTAACCTTTTTGGGAGCAGAAGTTTTGGAATGCCCTCGTCTCGTTAAAAAAAATGGCACAAAATTCCAACTTTAAAATATTTCTCTTCGAGTTTCAATTTAGTAAAATGGCTAGTATATAAAATGGCATCAATCTTATTGCCAATATTCTTATCATTTTCTTGACTTTTTATTCCTCAAAATTTATTATTTATTATTTCTACATATAATAAGAAATACACGTTCTCCATCCCTCGTTTAAAATATATATATGTGTGTGTGTGTGTGTGTCTGTGTGTGTATGCGTGTGTGTGTACGTGCGCACGTGTGTGTGTGTGTGTGTGTGTGTGTGTGTGTGTGTGTGTGTGTGTGTGTTGCGATTAATGAAATCAGAAACAATTTACCTCATACAGATGACCATTTCGTCTATGGGAAAAGTCTTTCCCTAGACTTATCAATGCTAATACATTTAATAATATATATATATATATATATATATATATATATATATATGTATGTGTGTGTGTGTGTGTGTGTGTGTGTGTGTGTGTGTGTGTGTGTGTGAGTGAAAAGTGTATATAAATATAAATAAATATATATATGTATAATTATTTATATTATATATACATATTACTTATTAGAAAGCGCTCAATATCAGAGATAAAGCTAACATATTTGGTTGGATAGATGTGACTTTTTGCGACCTGGGTTTCACGCTTTAGCGATCGTCAGACAAACTCGCTAAAGCGTGAAACCCAGGGTCACAAACTCACATCTATCCAACCAAAAATATATATATATATATATATATATATATATATATATATATATATATATCAGAGAAAAGAACAGATGGAGTAAAATTCCATTTTCATGGCATTTCCTTTTTTAAAAAGTGCTCAACACAAAGTAGAGCAATATATTATAATTATTTTCATTATAAGAGATTATCATAAAAACATATTGAAATCACTACACAAAAGCTTTCATGTTTCAATACTTTGATTGTAATTCCTCAGGCAATGGTAAATAAATGCTGATTAAATGATTTTTAAGGAAATTTGAAAACAAAGTGTTACCTCATTTCCGAAAGATAAAATTGGATGACATAAGGTCAGAATTAAAATGTGTCTTGATTAACCAAATAAATGTAAGTTCAGAGGGTGAAGGTGGAAAACTTATTTCTTTTATGCCATGATAAACCGGAACATAGACAGGCCATCATTGACGATTTCAGAAAATATGTCAGCGACAAATGTATCGTCATTGTGGATAAATATGACAAGGTCAAATTTTTTAAGGATATTGAAGGGAAGGGTTGGTTAATCAGACGTAAAGTTAACAGAAAAAATGAAATTTTTTTTGCATTCAGAAATCTTCCTAAAGGGATATATATATATATATATATATATATATATATATATATTAAGTAATTCATCGAGTCTCGAAGAAACCTCAACAGAATGCAGAAAGCACTGGACGGCTGTTTCGTCCTATTTTGAGGACTCATGAGCAGTGCGCATCCACTACGGAGAATTGAAACCCAGACAGTTACGTTATCAGGAACGTCATCCTGGACACGATGAATTACTTAATTAATTATCTCAAATCCTCCTAATTTCTATCACACACACACACACACACACATATATATATATATATATATATATATATATATATATAGTCGACTCTCCGGAAAACCGACAGGAAACACACAGCCCGACAACACCACAAGAGATTTGATTATAGTGGTGAAGGTTTCGTGCAGGACCAGCCACACTTTTTGAAGGGCTGAATTCAGAAACCTGGTGCACTAAGTGCCACAAGGTCCCCAAACGACCCTCTGCAGGTTTTGAATTCAGAGTTGTCCTTCTCCTAGACTAGTTGCCATCCAAGGCTATAGAACCCAGTCTGTCCTGCTATTTACCCATAGCTGGAGGGAGAAGAAGGGGATTTCATACCTTTCCCAGGGGTATTAGCACGTAAGTGAATGTAATGGATTCGACTGGAATTCGAACTCGGCTCTGCGATTACTCAATCCAGGCCGCTACCCATTACGTGTGTGTGTGTGTGTGTGTGTGTGTGTGTGTGTGTGTGTGTGTGTGTGTGTGTGTGTGTGTGTGTTGTATATCTGGGTAGCAACCCTTCTTTAAACATATTTCATTGAATACGATATCCAAGGAATATTTTTTTAAATTGTTCTTCAGATTTTCTTGCGATGTTTTTTTTTTTTTTTATTAGGTCAAAATGTGCATTGAAACTGTCTCTAGTAAATTAAGGTTAGATGCACATCGACTCCAGGCTCTACTAAAAATGGTTAAGGGTATTAGCTGAATGCTCTGGGGACAATATTCATTACTGACAGTTCATGCACACTACATATATATTTAAAATAAAAAAAACTTATTTGCCTGATATAAAATTCTGTATTTTAAACGCAATCTTTAGATATATTTATTCGTTTATATAATTTTGAAACATTTACTTGTTTTTGCAGGTCATGTTCCCTTTTGCGACGGCGCAGAATCACCTGGGCCATTGGACGCTGTTCCTGAAACACTGACCAGTCAGCAAAATTCCTTACCATTATTTGCAGTAGAGTTATCGGAATCACGATTCTTCTTGCATCTATGCCTTTTCCAAAGGTCGAAGAGAACGCCGACAAACGCAAGGCAATTCCCAAAAAGCTCTGACCCGAAGTGCGTTCATCTTACGTCCCTGCCTATCATCCTGGACGCGTACTACTTCACACACACAAACACATACACAAAAAAGAAAGAAGCAACAGCCGTCGGTAGAGAACGGGGTTCACACTAGGTATCAAAACAAAAACACACAGACAAAAAAAAATATATATATTTAAAAAAATGAGCCTGGCAACTTTCTTCAACAGCGGCAGTGGCGGCGGTGGTGGTGGTGGCGGCGGCGGTGATAGCGGCAGCAGTGGCGCGGCGGTGGCGGCCCACCAGCTGAATACGATTGGTGCCTACCGCATATCCCAGGGTGGACCTGCAGCGGTGGCGGCTGTGGCGGCGGCGGCGGCGGCCGACCCCAACATGTCGGTGTCGACAGCCGCCTACGCAGCCGCTGCAGCTGCTACTGCCGTACACTTCAGCGGTAGTGGTGCATTCGGCCTCGACAACAGTACGGACTACGACTACGGTCTGAACGACACTTTGAACGACAGCCAAAGCATGTCAGACGCTCCGTTTGAGTCGCCTCTCCCGCTGTGGTCGACCATAATTCTTGGGGCGATGGCTGGCATATGCAGCCTCGTCACGGTACTAGGCAACGCCATGGTACTCTTCTCGTTTGCTATCGAACGGACGATTCGTCAACCCACAAACTATTTTATCGCATCTTTAGCTGTGTCAGATCTCCTAATCGGCGCATTTTCGATGCCGTTTTTCACCTCATATATTTTGCTGGGTCAGTGGCCGATGGGACCCTGGCTGTGCGACCTCTGGCTCTCTCTTGATTGGACTGTATGCCTTGCATCGCAATATACTGTATTTTTAATTACAATGGATCGTTTTTTCTCTGTCAAACTGCCAGCGAAGTATAGAAACTGGCGTACTGAACGTAAAGTGATCGTAATGATTGCAACTACCTGGGTTGTACCTATCTCTGTGTTTTTCACTTGTATTATTGGTTGGCAGTTCTTTGTTGGCGAACGCACGGTAACGGAGACAGAATGCGAGGTTCAATTTATGAGTGACCCGATTTTTTTGCTTTTGCTCACAATTGGCTACTACTGGACGACACTGATCGTCATGTGCGGACTCTATACGGGCATCTATCGGGTTGCATTGACGCTGCAGCGAAAATCGGAAGCGAAGCATAAAAAGATTCACGCGGCGATGGAAATGGCGACCGACCATCGTCGCAATGCCAACTCGGTTGGCGCGGCGCATAACGACGAGATCGGCGGAGGCGGCGACGCGGTTGCCAACAAAGACGGGAAGAAAGGAGCAGGAATGACCACGACCAGCTTCAGTTCGAAGAGAAGCAGCGAAAAGGAAGAAGAGCGTTCAAGCAGTCCAGCATTTGCTTCCGACGACGAGAACAGTAGTCAGTCGCCGAAACCTAGTAAGAAACCTTCACCTAAAGACCTACCCCAATTGCTGTGCGAGATTGGAAAAGTCCCGGCTGGCCTTATTGAGGAGCCGCCGGCGTCCGCACTTAAACCCAAAGCCAAAACCAATGACCAGCACCATCACGGCAAGAAGAGCAAGCTGACGTTGAGAAACTCGTCTAAGTCGAGTCAGAAGAAAAGCAACAGGGTGGAGAATCTCAAACACAAATCTTCCCCAGCTACGTCGATGATCGTTGTCCCAATGGCGCAGAAAATGTCAACGAACACTGTCGTTACAGTGTACGAGCCGACTGAAATGACCACCGGTCAGTCAGCATCCTCATCTTTACCGTTAGTCGAAAACAGACGTACTACAGTTCCTCTGATGCCGAACGAGTGCAGTAACTTTGTCGAAGATGACGTCTGTTGCGATCAACCCCTCGGAATGTCGGCTGCTGAGAATATGAGATTGTTGTCCAGTCCTCCGCTGGTACCTTTACCGCTACCTGCGCCAATACCTGCACCACCGTTAGTAGTTCCTGCTACACCGGCTGAAGATGTGGAGGTGTCAAAAGAAAATGAATTGAAGTGTAAAATAGTTGATGAGGAAATCGAAATAAGCAGAGGAGGAGGAGAAGTGGCAGGGGGAAATAAAGTAGATGTCGAGGTGGAAGAACAAGCAAAAGAAGAGGAAGAAGAAGAAGACGCAAGGTCGGATAGAAAAAGTGACATAGTAGAGCAGTTGGGGGAAAATGGTGAGGTGGTAACGACGACTGATCGCCAACTCTCGGCGTCCATAGCAAATGATATCGGATCCAGCGAAAGTCTGTCTCCAGTGTGGAAACGCCGATCCTTAGCTAAAAGTTCAGAGCCTTCCTCGCCGTCTTCTATACATGGGTCGCGTATCACTATCACCGAGCAGGAGATCCAGTTCGACGGTGAGGCGATAACGCCGGAAGAACGAGAACACGAAGAAGAAGAAGAAAAAGAAGAGGAGGAAGAGGAACAGGGGGAAGAGGAAGAACAAGAAGAAAAAGTAGATCAGCAGCCACGAGAAGAGGAGGAGGAGGAGGACGAGGACGAAGCAGATGCCGGTGATGTTGACGGAGCAACAGCTAGCTTATTGCAACCATGTGCGTCCGAGCCGACTCTGACCGGAAGTGACGACGCACCCATGAAGATCAACGCGACCAGGTCATTATCAGGTACCGGTACTGGATCCGGGCCAGTTTCAGCCTTGGACTCGGCTAATAAGCGATTACTTGGTGACCAGATCAGGCCGTTTGGAAACAGTACAAAACTTGACATGGCGGCTGTGGCAGCTGCGGCGGTGGCAGCTGCATCAGGTAAGGCGTTTCCACCAAAGATTGCAAACGAAAACCGGGCCCGACGAGAGCAGCAACTTGCTAACAGCAAAAATAACGATGACTTCTCCAGCATAACGTCCAAGCGCAATCTGAAACATAATAGTCCGTTCCAGACCATCATGAGGTCATTAAACAAACCAAAAGTTCGGCGACGATCTAGAAAAGAGAAAACAAAATCGAAATCGGAGAACAGAGCCAGGAAAGCACTGAGAACAATTACATTCATTTTGGGGGCCTTCGTCCTTTGCTGGACGCCATACCATCTGATGGTAGCCATTATTGGTTTGTGTGGCAGCTACAAATGCATCAATATTCCTCTCTATCAAATAACGTATTGGCTCTGTTATTTAAATAGTCCGATAAACCCTTTCTGTTATGCATTTGCGAACGTTCAATTTAAACGAACTTTTTTGAGAATTCTTCGCTTGGACTGGCATCGGACATAAATATACAATTCACAAAATACTTACAAATATACGTATGTGTGGGTACACGTCTGTTGTGTATGTATGCGCTTATATGTGTGTGTGTGTGCGTTTAGGCGTACTTTTATGTATATAACAAAATATGCATAACCACAGATTTCTTTATACACAAATATATATATATATATATATATATATATATATATATATATATATATATATGTATGTATGTATGTATGTGTGTATGTATAAGGAAAAGTGGGAAATTATCAAAAAAACGAAGAAAAAAAATAATCATCTCCAAAACGTGTGAAATCTTTAAAGAGGATTTTAAGTAAAACTTGGGAATAAGGTTATTCTGTTACCCAAGATATAATTTCTCTCGCTATCTTTTTTTTTTTTTTTAATGACAATATTTCTTTTTGGGTTTTAAACAAAGAAAAAAAATGAAAGGGAGGGAAAGAGGTCGAATGCATTTGTTTTCCATATTCTGCAAAAAAAAAAAAAATATATATATATATATAATTTAAAAGTAAAAAAAGAATAAAAAAAAAAGGAAACGAAAGGAAATCTGAAAAAAAAATAAAAATAAAAAAATAAAATTAAAATAAAAAGAGGAAGAAAGATTAACACACCCGCACCAAATGACATATTCTATAAATTAAACGGAACTTCTGGATTGAAAGTAAAGGGTGTCTTTTTTTTTTTTTCTCTTTTTTTTTTCTTTTTTTTTTACAAATGATTTTTTTTTAAAAATCAAATTATATACAAAAACATTTGTTCAATGGGAAAATAATCAGAAAGAAAATATTTAGAATAACAAAACAAAAGAAACAAAAACTTAAATCAAACAACTAAAAAAATCATTGAATATAATCGTAAAATTTAAATGTAATGATACTGTGAATGTTTGTAATTATAGCGTTGGAAATTTATTATTATTATTATTATTATTAATATTATTATTATTATTATTATTATCTGATCACATATTATTACTATTACGATGATTGAAAAGACTATAACCTTTACTGTTAGAAACAAATCATGCTAATTAATGAGACTGATTGTCATGTATGTTTAAGCATATATGTGCATGTATGTGTGTGTAGACATATGTACATGTTTTGATATGTATTTTTATATGCACATACATGATTGTATTAACCTTTATATATGCATACATGTAAACATATATATGCATTTGTACGTAATGTGTATATACTCAATACACACATATATGTAGGTCTCTCTGAGAACACGTATATATATATATATATATATATATATATATATATATATATATATATATATACATACATAATGCATATATAGGTGTACATGTGTATTTTATGCGTATGCTACATAGATATATGTTATATATGTACCTGTATATATATATATATATATATATATATATATATATATATATATATATATATATATATATATATATATGATACGTGGAAATGTCTTCACAAAATTACATATGCACAAACAACCGCACTCACAAACACGTGCACACACAAACATTAATATATGTGTATGTGTGTGCGTGCGTGCGTGCAAATGCACGCACTCACACATATATACATTAATAAATATTTTCCTTTATATTTTAAGAAGTGTACATAGACAAGTTATTTATATTTTCAAATTTGCGCGCAAATGTAGACACTTAATATACACGAAATTATGTTACAGGGGTGTTTATTATTAATATTGTGTCAATTTTTATACTATTACTGTCTATTTGGGCTCCTGCTGCGGATCAAGTGATAGCAAGTCTCCGCAATTTTTAAGCACTTTTGTTCTTGTTTATTATTATTATTATTATTATTATTATTATTATTTCATAAGTTTGCAGATTTCTGATGGCTATTGCTGGAGTTTGAATGACAATGAGTATTCTTATCTCCAGCACTTCCTCGGTATCAGTATCCTCACAGAACCCTGCATCCTCGACGTCTTATCCAAATTTGTAAATCATCCAATCTTCATTTTAATTTTTTGGCACGATTGCAGATACACCGACTCGTATGGGCACGGCCTTAAATTCAGTGTTCCATAGTTTTCTCAATTTCGACGTCGTTCTCATTATTATTATTATTATCATTATTATTATTATTATTATTATTATTATTGTTGTTGTTGTTGTTGTTGTTGTATTTTTACTATGAAACGTTACTGCTGAAAAGTCCGAAGACAGCTGATTCATTGCAAATTTGCATATATATATATATATATATATATATATATATATATATATATATATATATATATCTATGTATGTATCAGTGTGTGTGTGCGTGCGCGCATATGTGTGTGTGTATCTGTGTTTGCGTCGTAACGAAAATGCTATTGAAAATGAAAGATATTTTATGTCGATTAATTTTAAAGATCGTCTTTTCCAAATTATGAATAATTAATAATTCTTAAACAAAGAGGAAATTCCGTCAAGAATTATCCAAAGTTCATTTCAGAAGAAAAGTAAAAGTAATAATGTCCGAGCTTTTTATTATCTTTTACTATTTCTTGCGAAATGATCTTTGGCCAATTCTTGACGGAATTTCTTCCTTGTTTTAGAAGATTATTCGGAATTTGGAAAAGACGATCTTTAAATCTGATGCCTAAACACAGAGTATATATATATATATATATATACATATGTGTGTGTGTGTGTGTCTGTCTGTCTCTGTATGTTTGTGTGCGTCTGTGCCTGTATGTGTTTGTGTGTGTGTGTCTGTGCGCGCGCCTGTGTGTGTATTTATACTTGTGATTGTATGTATGTGTATATATTTTTTTCCAAATACATATCTCCGAATAAAATATCAGAAGGTGCACATATAATGAATATAATGTGTAATTTTGAAAATATATTTATACTTATAAAATCCTGACTATTTTGGACGTGAAGTGTTGAATGCGAGAGTGATATAATGCGTGAGTTAAATGATAAAAAATAGTTTATAAGGTATGTCATATCTATGACTAAAAGTACTCTTTGTCAGGGGCAGAGTGAATGTAAATATTAAAGTGGACACTGACGAGGAAAACAAGAGGCCAGAGTATGCTTCATTCTAGAACTTTGTCTCCAGGCCTAAAGATTGTGTTCAAGCATGTAACAAACAATTGCTGCTTGTTGTTACCCTCAGTGTCCACATTTATATTAACATACACTCTATGCCTCGTACTGAGCACTTTCACACATAAATAAAACTATATATTTATCATATATATATATATATATATATATATATATACCCAAGTATAGGATTGGTGTTTACGGAATAAATTCCAATAACCAACAAATACTATACTTAAAAGAGTGCTCAATACAGAGTAGAGCAAATATAATTATCTATTCGAAAATTATCGCATAAATATTTTATAAAATCACTACAAAAATAGCCACTTTGTTTCAACACTTCTGATGTCTCATCAGGTGATGGGGTTTATAAGACACAGACACACACACACCTTGATAAGATACCAGAAGTGTTGAAACAAAATGGCTATTTTTGTAGTGATTTTATAAAATATTTGTGTTATAATTTTCGAATAAATAATTATATATATATATATATATATATATACACACACTCATTCCATTGAATACAACTGGTAAGGTGCTTTGATTTAGTTTTTTATACAATTTCTCATATACTCTATTTTTTTTTTCTTTTCGGATGATAAATTATATAAAAACTGTCCAATTGTTCATTAAGGAATTGTATTACTGATCAATCAAAATTCGTAAATAATTGTAAGGCTATATTACATGTTTGACAGGAAGACTCACTCTACACCTTTCTGAATATAGCTAAATTAGATCTCATTTAAATACTCATGGAGCCTATTCATAACATACTTGTTGACAACACAAACATAACAGCATCATCTACATGCAAAAAAAAAAATAAAGGCCAAAAATAATTGAAGCCTTATTAATAAAAGCAAAACTAGCAACACTTAATAAGGAATATAGACAAAATATCTTGACCGTGTTTTGAAAAGAAAACATTATATAAATACATACATATACAACAAACTCTTTCTTGTTAACTGTTAATATATTTCAACCTTGAAAATGGATAAATGTATCGCCGAAAGCGCTCGGATAAAAAGAACAATTGGATAGTTTTTATATAATTTATCATCTGAAAAGAAAAAAATATTAGATCACATGAGAAATTGTATAAAAAACTAAATCATAGCACGTTGACTGTCGTATTCAATAAAATGTGTATGAAAGAAGGATCTTCATAATGCACAAATACATACATACAAAATATATATATATATATATATATATATATATATATATATATATATATATATATAAGAAACGTATATCAATCTATGTCTCGCTATTATTAAAGCTTCTCTCCTACGAAGATTTAATAAACGTCAAAAATGTAAGATTAATATACGTTTCCAATTTGTTTGTTGATGTATTATCCTATTGGGATTCCTATCTATATTTGATCTGCATTTGATCTTTAACTTTAATATATATATATATATATATATATATATATATATATATATATATAGCTGGTCATTCGTATTCGAGGGTACCTGTCTAATATGGCGCCTAGCCAATCCCTATTGCCGACGCCTGCTTTGTTGATTATACTGTAAATATGCTGAGCAGTGCCAAGCCGCAGTTTCTGGGAGTCAGCGTGTTATCTAGCGTGATAAGCAATGTGAACACGACCAAGACACTGAAGCCCTCAATCACAATGACTTGTGATATAGTGCTAGCGCAGATATTGACGGCAACAAATGGTTCCGTCTACACAATTTCACTCACAAGTCTTGGGTAAACCCGTGGTATGGTTTTCAGGTACTTTCCAAATTGCCGCACGCTAAGATCGACCCCTCCAGTCCGATAACATAAGGAAGTTCTCTTTCTGACTAAAGGACCATGACGAAATTCGATACCGGGTCAGAATGACAACTTTCACATGCCCATATATATATATATATATATATGGTAAATTTGAACATCATCGTCC